TGGTGGGTTTGAACCGCTAACCTTTTGGTTAGCAGCCAAGTGCTTAACCACTGTGCCACCAGGGCTCCTTTACTTATGGGATAGATATTAATCCAGTGATTACATTTAATCTCTTCAAAATGCCTTTGTCTAAATTATTAGAAGTTATCTAGTATTTTATCATTTTCTTATAGATTTCCAGTGTCTGGAAAACTGCCTTAGAAAACTGCAAATCTTTTGGGATGCTCTAGCAGACCCAGCGTAAGATATATCTCACAGTAAGGCCAATGGTCCTCATCTTAGTGACCCTGGTACCCAACCGACACCCAGCTCATTTAGAAGAAGACTTGGAAATGCATCTAAGCTAGGCCTTGGCTTTCTCTACCATGTTATGTAAAATGAATAAAAGTCAATTGAAATGACTTTTTATTAATTTAACTATATAAAATTGGTGATACTGATAATTTTTTTATTTAAAAGATGGAGGTTTAATATGGTTTAATCTAATATTTGGAATGTACTGAAGTTCAAGTCCCCACACAGGTCTCAAGGATTAAGTCCTCTCACCATTTCAATTATCATGAAGACAAATAACAAAATCAGACTGAGTGGAACCAATTGTGTCTAAAACCCTTTTTTATGGTATGGGTCTACAGTGAGTTTAGCAGTTGCAGGCACATTCTGCTAGTCTCTGGAGAGAAAAAGTAAAATATGGTCCTTGACCTCAAGAATCTCAGAGTACAGTAAGGAGAAAAAGAAAAACATTAAATAAAATGCAAAGGGAGTGTAGTATGTGCAACGATAGGTTAGTGGTGGCACAAAAGAGTTATCAACTTTTATTGACTGGTCAAAGAAGACACCACAGGTGTGGAGATTTTTCTTCTGGGTTCTGAAGGATAAGTAGGTGTTCACCAGTCAAACATGGAGGAACACATACATTTTGGGAAGAGGGAGCAGCATGTACAAAGCATGTAATAGCTTAGTTCATTGGGGAATTGTAAGTGGTTTGGTAGGGCTAAAGGAGAGACTGTGTGGGAATTAGTGGGAAATGAAGTTGTAGAGTTAGGCAGGAGCCAATTATGGGAGGCTATGTATTTCATTCTAAGGCGTTTCCTTTATCCTGTAACAGGGTGTTATGGAAGCATTTCAAACACAGGAGGAACAGGATCTGAGTTATATTTTCAAGTACTGGCAATGCAAATGATGCTTCCACTCTCCTATTCAGCCTTTCTAAACAGACTGGTGGACCCAAGTCCCTGCTCCATAGAAAGTCTGGAGTCATCACCAACTTGTAAGGGTGCAAACAGTAAATGATACAGGCAGAGGCAAGTGAAGCTTTGGTCAAACTGGTATATACACATGAAGTAAGCAAAGCAAATGACTGAGCCAAAGTCCAATCACTCTCACATTTATACAGAATATAAAGTTTGATGTGGAAAGCATGCCAAAAGCACCTCATTAATAAGCAAAAATTATTACTACAGGAAACCCATCTGTAAAACAAGGATAACAACAGTAACTACTTTATAAGGATGTTGTGAGGAATTAAAAATAATATACATCAAGCGCTTAGAAGGTTGTCTGGCATGCAGTAAACACTAAATGAAATATAGTATGATTATCATTATTGCATCTGACACTCAGAGAGCACTCAATAAATTAGTATCGTTATTATATCTCCTAACTTGCCGCTTTGCAACTATTCTGGCTTACATATCTGAAATGCACAGATGTCCTTACTTATGTCAAAGAATATTTACTCAACAGTGTAATTAAAATTAAATAATTATTAGAATGTTTTGAGAAAAAAGATTAGTCGCTTCTTTTTACCTCTTCATATCTGTCAAAAACTGCTCCGTCTTGTAGAAAGGAAGGAACTTCTTTCTGCCAGTTAAATTCATAAGGTTTGGCCATGATTGTACTCAAGACCTGAAATGAAAAAAGAGTATCTCATTAGTGAACAAAACTAAACAAGTGAGGATCAAAGGTTAATTACTCTTGTATTTACGTACTTATGACAGCTTTTCCTCAAATCCTTAGAGTAAGTCTATACATTGTCATCTTTTCTTTTGATCCCAGTTTTCTTCCTCTTCATTTCTAAACACGGAGAAATAATATCAAGAAATACCAGAGGTGATCATCTGGCAAGCTTCCCTTTCCTCTCCAAATTCTATAAAATAAGAAGACTTCTTTCTTTTTTGAATCTGTTGGGATCAGATTAAAGATGGAAACCACAGATCAAAACCTGTATTTAGGGGAGGTCTGCTGCAAATAGCTGGTGGTTCTAGGGCCACTACCAGCCTGAAGGCCAACGCCAGAGCGGGTGGGAGCCCACAGAGTGATGAGCTGCAGAAACCACAGGAGTAGTCGAAATGTTGTACTGCTCATGGTCCTCTTCTTAGCCCTCTACCACCCCTCTTGGGCCAGGCAAGGAACCACAGAATGTCTGCTTTCTAGCATGGGCAGCAAGTATGACAATGAAAGAGAGGCTGGGCACTGTTCAGCGTTGCCGTCTATACCGAGGAAGAAGTGGATGTTCCTTTTATCCAACCTTCTTAGTATTATGCACCATGGTGCACATGCAATAACTTTAAACAGGGCATCTTAAATGAAAAAGTAAGCGTACAACCAAGAGTAACCATATATTTAAGCAAAGCCAAGAGCGTGGAAGATATACTCCAAACACAGGAAGTAGAAGAACTTCTGCCCAAGGAAACAGAGTTAACAGAACAAACAGAATATGACTTTGGTTAACTATGGTTGATATCCTCAGATAGAAGAAAACAGTATATTCTGTTCCTAAATTATAATCAACCACCGATTATAGAAATTTTTAAAAAGTTGTTGAAATAAAATTCATAGTAGGTTGGCTGACCAGTAAGAGAACTCAGATGGAGTATTGAGCCCAGGAATTCTCACAGAATGCAATACAAGAAGATATACAAAGCATGAACGGAAAGTTTAGGCACATGGAAAATGGAACGAAAAGGTTCAACCACCATCTAATAGAAGAACTTCCATTAGAAGGAGACAAATGAGAGGCAATGGAGGGACAGGAATAATGAGAGGAATAGCTGGAGAACATTTCTGGAACCTGAATATTTGAATCCTCAAAATGAAAAAAATCCACTGATTCCAAGTAATATAAATCAGAGAAAACAGATGCATGCACTTAAATATACCTTGTGATGAAAATGAGAACACAAAATGTGAAGAAAAATTATAAAATCTCTCACAGATGCATAAAGAGGAAAAGGGCAATTTAGAGGCAAATGACAAACTGAAACCAGGCAAGTCATTGGCAGTACTGAATGTGAGAAGACAGCAGGCAATGACTTCGAAGGTCTGAGGCAAAATGATTTTGGCCTTAAAGTTCTGTGTCCAGTCAAATAATGCTTCAACTTTTAGGAGAAAATATAGACATTTATAGACTTGCAAGGTGTCTCTTCCTGTGTCTCTCTCTGTCTCTCTGTTCCTTAGTCTATCTCTTTCTGTGTCTCTCCACGTCTATTTCTCAGTGTCTGATGCGTGTGCACACACTCCGTATCCACAAGCCTCTTTACCCAAGATGCCTTAGAAGCAAGCTTTTCATCCAGATGATGTGCATTTCTGCCTTCTATGACATTAGACAGATGTGCAGAGAAAAGTAACCTGCAGACCGCCTCAAGCTGCTATGGATGAACACAGTGATCTGTAATGAGAAAAACCAACTACAGGGAGCTAAGTGTTAGCATTAAAGACAGATTCAAAAAACGATTTGCTGCCCTCCCTGGTATACCAACTGTGGAGAAGAGAAGAGTAGGCAAAACATCTCTCCTTCATGTGTACTTTGCTCTTCTCATTCCCTCCAACCATCCCTTTGATTTTTATTTTAAAGAGCAACAAGATGCTTCTGATATATAAAAAACAATATATCAAAAATGAAAATGAAAATAAAACATATCGATTTATATCATCTTTGGTTGACTTAACTCTGGTGTCCTTAGGATCTTTCCAGGGACAGGACATATGACGTAAATACCCAGTACATGATGTTTTTCAGACCTTACTTACTACCATGCCTAAAATACTCATCTCTTTCCTGAGTATTACTTTCATCATACTGACTGCAGTATGTGAAGGACTCTGTGGGGGAGTGGATGCTAATGGATGGAGGATGGTAATTCTGATCTTCATCTCCAAGGAGATTCCCAGTGGCGATGGAAACTCACTGAATATTTATTGAATTGCTTACTTTCAGAGATTTGGGGTTCAGAAGAAGGTAAGAGGCATTTTGGCAGAATGATGTTGGGAGTATCCTGAATTTTCTCAATTTTAAATTAGGGCAGAGGGAGGGCTGTTCCTTGCCCTGTCTCTGAAACACTTCCTAGGGCCTGGCATTAGGGGCAGTAACTGGCCTATTTTATGTAGATGATATAACTATGACCTATAGACTAGAAACTGTTGAGCCAGCCAACTGTATTTAACAGCAGTTTGATCTAGGTAATTGATTTTAAAATAGGAACAAATGAAGGTACAAATTGTAGTCCAACTGAATCCAAAGGAAGTTAAAGGGACCAACGGTGGCTTCTTTTACAAGGCATGGGGGGTAGGGGAGGAACTGACCACTCATTAAATAGGTCCTTCCTGTCATAATCTCACAGACCCACCCACAGCTAACTGCTAAAAAACACTTTCAATGTGCCATTCCAAAGGTGGTTCTTCTTAAATTCTCTAGCTTGCCTTCTAAGGCCTCACTTATAAGACACCTCAAGGTGTTAACTGTCTTCTCCACCTTGGAGAACACCACCACCTTGCCCTACAGAGCCCACAGGAAGGGCCAGTTGTCTCCTTAAGGAACTCAGGGAGTGAAAGAGAATTTACACAAAGAATGGATATATAACCCTACACCTTTTCCAGTATAAACACCATTAGCATTTACTGGAAGGAGGCCAGTGGCTTTTAAATAGTCTCATTGTTTCTAAATTCTTATGCAACTGGGATGGATTAAGTATTGCACTGGCTGGAGAGGAAAACTCACTGGACTGCAGACAGCTTGGTAGGAAGAGGGAAAGAGAGGAGGGGAGTCCTAGAAGGTCCAGTTTCACAGTAAGTAGAAAAAACCTCCTTTTAAAGAAGATGAGGAGAAACTGACAGAGTTAGCAGGAGGGCCAGAAGGAAGCTGAGGTGAGGCTGTTGAGGGACTAAATATTCAAGGAGGACATGTACATCACCCTTGAAGATGGCCTTCCATTCATTTGGTTGGGCTGATTCAAGGAACAACAACTATTTGTTTTTTGGACTACTCTGCACTGTATCTTTAAACTTGTTTGGTCTCCCTGGTTAGACTGACAGGGAGGTCTTCAAGATTTACAAGACCATCAAACCTAGATATGCAGGATGACTTAGAGAGTTAATTCTGCCCACCAACTTCCTAGGCCAGCTGGGTCAATGTTTTTGGCAAATTTTTTTGTTTCTGGACATATGCCTTATATTCTGGTAGAAAGCAGGCAAAAGTAGTACATAAAATCAAATATATTTCAGGTACTTGGGTGTGATGGAGCCCTGGTGGGCACAGTGGTTAAGCATTCGTCTGCCAGCCAAAAGGTCGGCAGTTCAAATCCACCAGCCACTCCTTGGAAACCCTATGGGGCAGGTCTACTCTGTCCTATAGGGTTGCTATGAGTTGAAATTGACTCGATGGCAATGGGTTTTGGTTTGGTTTCCTTTGGGTGTGGTAGGCTAAATATCGGCTCCCAAAAGATATCTACATCCTAATCCCTGGAAAAGCAGAGTGGTTAAGTGCTTGGCCACTATCCAAAAGGTCGACAATTTGAACTCACCAGCTGCTCCGTGTGAGAAAGATGTGGCTATCTGCTTCTGTAAAGATTTACATCCTTGGAAATCCTATAGCAGTTCTACTTTGTCCTATATGGTTGCTATGAGTCAGAATAGACTCAATGGCAATGCATTTTGGTTAATCCCTGGAACCTGGGAATGTTACCCTGTATGGCAAAAAAGGACTTTGCAGATATGATTAAAGTTAAGGATCCTGAGATGGGGAGATTATCCTGGATTATTCCAGGGGGCCCTAAATGCAATAGCAAGGCAGACGGAGATTTGAGATACACAGGAGAAAGCAACACAGAGATTGAGTGATTTAGCCGCAAGCCAAGGAATACCAGCAGCCACCACAAGCTGGAAGAAGCAAGGGACAGAATCTCTCCTACAGCCTCTGGAAGGAGTGTGTTCCTGTGACATCTTGATTTTGGACTTCTGGCCTCTAGAACTGTGAGAGAATAAAGTTCCGTTGTTTTAGGCCACTCCAACCAGTTGCTATTGAGTCGACTTTGACTCATGGCGACCCCACGTGTGTCAGAGTAGAACTGTACTCCTTAGGGTTTTCAATGGCTGACTTTTCAGAAGTAGATTGCCAGGGCTTTCTTCCAAAGTGCCTCTGGGTGGACTTGAACCTCCAACTTTTCAGTTACCAGCCACGTATGTTAACTATTCACACCACCCAGACACTCCCTTGTGCCATCAGTTTATGGTAACTGGTTACAGCAGCTCCAGGAACCTAACACACTGGGCCACAAAGCAGCTGTCTTACTGAAGCTGGATATATGCCATGAAAAGCTCAGCGAGGTGCCAAATAAATCTGGAAGACAGTAGGAACCACTCTGCCTCGAAGAGAGCAGGGATTCAAGATACATTTGTTCAACTGAATCAAAGACAAATAGAAAGAGAAGTACTAAACAAAATGTCATCTACAAATGACTTCAGATAATTCCTGTCCTGCTATTCGAAAGACCCTTTGAGGAGTAAAGATACAGCTTCTGCAGTATATCTTTTCTCAGAATCCAAATGTCTTTGAACAATTTGGCACGTCAGCAATAAATGCAAGCTTTAAATAAACCCTGCAGTTTGCCCCAAGCCAATCAAGGTATTCT